CGTAGTAAGCAGTTTTAGTGAACAGCCCTGTCTTCTCCAGATTACGATGCACGACTGACAAGCGAAATGCTTAATTAAGCAAGAAACACATGGAAGGCAATGCGAATACGTGCACTATTAAAGTATTCCAAATTATTATAAAAAAGGTCTCGGTGATACCGTGTGACAGGATGAGTTTGGTTTTCACTCAATCACAGAAACGACAACACGAAGAAAGTTTCATACAAAATTTTAGTAAAATTAAGACTGAATTCTGTATAGGTTATGTGAGTTGCTTACAATATAAATTATAAGAAAGACGACAGGATAATTCATGAACACTTTGTTTTTATCATACCTCAGTCCACACAGCACTCATCACATGCTGTTTGAAGAGAAAATGACGGTCATGGCCAAATATTACATCACACACTCATCACGACACACTCAAATTAACCTAATTAATATTCGTAACTTCGCATTTTCGAAGCCGAGCAGTGTAGCCACGCATTCTCTCGAGTAATTTCGTAACTACTTTGAACTAACTAGAAACACGATTGTAATGAACCAACAATAAACGTGTTTGTATGGCGATACCCATGTATCTTCCCAACACTTTAAGATTAAATAATGTCTTCTCTACAGACATGATTATCGAGGATCCGATTCGAGAAAATAAAAACGTAATGAAACGTGACAACGAATACACAAGTAACCAGTGAAAGTATGTGGATGTCTGACTAAAGATGGCCACATTTCTGACATCTATTAGACAAGTATTACAACTACTACAAGCTACGATTTCGGAAGGGGAAGGGGGAGGTATGAAGCCCAAGGAGGGTGTTGATTTTGTGTAGCTTCTGGGCTTCATGATCGGTAGACAGAACACACCTGCCAGCAATTAATATTAAGAAATGAATCCATAGATCATCAACATATGTATTAACCCTATTTAAGGATTCACTCCATGCTGCAAAGAAAACATAACATTTCACCACTAAAAAGATCAATTGGTTAATGTCATTTGAGAAAATAATTGCTGTTTACAGCGAGAATCATACAGAACCCACAAATACAAAATGTGGAGTTACTAACTTTTAAAGCAGCTGGTACAAGTGGTTACCATTTGGCTTTAAAGGGTTAATGAAAGACTGGAACAGTGTTGCAAATACGCTGTACTTCAAAATAACAATTCAAGTAGATTAAAATGCTCTACACAGAATACCTTTTTATTAGCACATTTAAAATATAAGAGCTTTGTAAAAAGTCACATAATGCTAGCTTACAGACCACATATAAACATTCTTCATTCATTAGGACTATACAAGAGACTAAATTACAATGATGATAATTGTAATAATAATAATAATATTCAAAACAAGTAGTTTAAGGCATTTACATTGTAAGTCACACCAGTATTATATTAAGGAAAGAAGTGTCTGTATCATTAGAGTATATTCGTAAAGTGCAGCCACCACCTAATTTCCAATGTTCTGGCATGACAGTCTGCAAACCAAATCATTTTATAACATTCAGAATAAATACGGGATAAATGTTCGGTGTCATTGAACTTGT